TACTAGTTTGTAGTTTCTCTTTTTCTCAAGTAGGGTGTTTAAAGTTTCAAATCCAAAGCCTTAATTTATCGGGCGGCGATCATTAAAGCGAGAGCGCCCGAGAATATGAATGATTGCCGCAAGCGCAAGAGTGTTGCACTTCCATTGCCTCGCTTTTTTTCACGTGCAAGCACAGACGTACTACCGTCTAAAGCAGGCGGAACTATCCTTGGGTGTATCGCGGTCGCTGCTTACGTTCTGCTCAAGTACGAGAACGAAGGAGCTGAAGAGAAATTGGATTGAAAAATGTTACGACGCCGCCGAAGGAAAATAGATTGACTGGAAGAGACGATAAATAAAAGACTTACTCAACGAAAACTTGCCAAAGCTATAAAAAAAAAAAAAAAAAAAACAACAACAAAAAACGCGATACGAAAAAAAAATATAATAAAGAAAAGGTCGAATCTGACAAGCGTGACTCGTAAGACGAGGTACCAAATATTCCATGCGGGTCAATTTCCTGTGGGTGTTCTGAGATATCTTCTAACTTTCGGTAGAAAATATGGTGAAAATATAGACGGTACGGACTTAAATAGATTTTTCGTTATTTATAAAAGGACAAAAAAATCATTACAATATAAAAAGTGAAATCGGTGATAATTAATTGAAAAGAAAAATACGTATTTTATAATATGGTTTTATTGGAAAAATATTACCTACATTAAAAGTAAATAAATCAATTAAAGGATAAAGTATTCTCTAAAAAGTAGTAACATATAATGATGGAAATAGCTATGAAAAGTGCTTAGAGTACGTTTTACATTAAATTACAGTGACTTTTATTTTATTTTATTCGACATAAAGTTTAAGAACTATTGTATTATTACCAAAACTTTCTCTCAATGCAAAAAAAGCTATATCATTGGCACAAAACTATTATTATATTAGTTTGTTTAAAATAAAATAGAATAAAATTTTACGAGCTAAAGTTATTTGTAAAATTAAAATTATTTACATATAAGACAACTGAAAAATTTACATTATTTTGAAAACTGCTAATACAACTAAGTAGATTCATGTATAATAGACTCCTGAATAAGAAGTAAATCTTGATTGAAAAAGCGAAAAATGGGAAGACATAATTAAAAAATAAAAGTATAGTATAAAAAGCTACTTAGTTCATTATCGTATATCTGATATTCTATGAAAATTCAAAGATAATATAGCAGGTAACTATGGGCAGTCGTGTATTGAGAAATTCATGTTCCGGGGAACGAACGCCTCAGGTGTATTACATCATGCGCGACATTCTTCGCGCGCTAGCTTTAACGGCTTTAAATTACTTATATCTCTTCATCTCCTATTTTGCTCACTTTCGTTGCTGTAATCTAGCTAAGCTCCAACGAGAACAGTTTCGCATTGCGAAATTAATGAGTTTGAAAACCAGATATATAATTCTTTTTCAAGAATTACAGTACTTTATACATAATCTGGGCTACGATATACTATTCCGTTTTAACAATTCTATGCACAGAGAATACAAATGCTTTATAATTAGCATACTTATATTATTAAATACATCATAGTGTGACAAATAATAGCATAAGCAATTTGTTTATTAAGTACTCAAATTTTGTTATGATTTTCAATAAATCTTTAAGTTTAATCTGATAGATATTCTAAATACATTATTATCATATTAACAATAATACGATTTTTTGTATTAAAATTAATTAAATTTTATGAAAAACTTCAAATATTCCAATTATTTCATCTGTGAATTTATTAAAAAAAATAGTAAAAATAATCTATTGAATTTAACTTCTATAATTGAATAAAAAAACATACTTGTTATTTATTACAATTGTTAAATGCGTTTCAATATTAAATGTTAATTTATTTGGTATTTTGTATAGAAATCACAATTATATTTGAAAATATTGTATGTCATACTCTATTCATAGACACAAATCATGGAGATGAAAAATATGTGTATCATATTTTGTTTGAAAATTAGAAATGTCTGTTTCAAGGCAAATTAATTCAGGAATAGCTTAGCAAACTTTAGCAAAATGCATTTTCCCTTCGTATATATACCGCACGTCGTTTTCTTACATCGTGTAGCAATTACTTAATAAGTTTTGCTAGCATATTACGATTTTCTTCCTCTGGGCTTCAATAAATAATTTTTCGCGCCCTTTCAATGTTCAGCCGTTTGCACTCAGCGACTCATTTACGTAAATCTCGAAAGAGTAGTGCATACACATCTTGCGATGATAATGCATTGTCGCATATTGTAGAATTACAAATTAAAAATACTTAAAACATAAATTAAAAATTCTAGTGAATCTATGAATAAAGATTTAATTGTTCTACTTACTTCTATATATTGTACATACTGTTCATTATTTCTCTAAAAGGCTGTATTATTTATCTGTCTTTATTCTAATCTTGTTTCATTATTAATATAAATTGATATCTAATATCTGTTATACAATAACAATGTTAATGTAAAGATATGAAAAGTTAGGCACCTTAATTATTTTTAAATAATTAAAGAAATTACGTGCACTACAATTTTTCACTTAACTTCTTTCAATTAATATGAGGCAAATTTATATTGGTTTCAGTATTTTTCTTATTTTTGTCACCTCGTTAAATAAATCGAGGAAATGTATTTACAGTAAAAATTTCATTTGTATGAATGAAGCAACATATTATATAATTATTTTTAAATGGGTCCAGTATATTAAAATTTTTTTTTTAAATAGTAAAATAATTTTTTCAAAAAATTATTGGTTTCCTTCAATTAGAAAAACAATATAAGAATAAATTTTACTAATGAAAAAAAAGATACTATTTAGGTGTAATTTTAAAAATTTAAGAAAATTCTTACATACAATATTCATAAAAAGTAAAAATTGATACGATATATTTATAAAATTTGTAATTTCAACTCTAGTTGTATAATAAAAAGAAAAAAAATAAAGATGAAAATATGAAGAAGGAGAAAGAAGAGTTAAATAGCGATTTGAATTTTATATTTAGGCAAATATAAATTTTTTTCATAATAAAGAAAAAATGAATCGCTGAATACAAAAATTTGAATCATAATTATATTAAGTTTATTTATCTTATAAAATATATATAAATATATTTATCAATTATCAATTTATCAATGAATTATATTAATCAATTAATTAATTATATATTATATATATCAATTATTATCAAAAATTATCAATCTGTTATAATATTATTATTCGCTGCAATTATTTTATTTAATGAACATATGTAATTAGAATTTTTGTTTAGTGTAATATTATAAAATTACTAAATATGAAGTATAGTTTAAATATTCTGTAAATTTACAACAATACATAAACACATATCATTTTATTTACTTTTAAAAATATGATTCATCATTCAATAACAAAATTTATGAATTTAAATATATAATGTATTTCATTTTATTAATACCAACTAATTCAATAATGATCCAATAAGTATTTATCTATTAATTTTTATTGTCATATAATTAATTAAATATAATTTATTTAACTTTGGCACAATATTGTAAATAATGTTAATACTGTAATATGGCATTTTACTGAAGAGAGTAATTTAGTAGATTATAAATATTAATATCATAGATAAAACCATGTAAAAAAGAGAAGAATATAGTCGACAATTTAAAAAAATATATTATATATAAAAATTGACACATTATATTATATTTATTGACAAATAATACGGTATTACACAAGTATTAGTTTATTATTAACAAGTATTAGTATTATTCAATGCTGAAAGAAAACTTGGAAAGTTTGTGACTAGTAAAAAGAATGTATGGTTGATTATGTGAATATACATCTTAATTCCAGAAAATTTAAGAGGAATTATAATAGTATTTATAACATTAGGATCATAACAAGTGTTAAATGAATGTTGAAGCATATTTTCTTTTCTCTATATTTCAGCATGTAATCTAATTATCTTTTTAATTATATATTTTTTCAGAACACTAGAGGTGTACAGTCCCATGAGCTGGCACGATGCACTTGGTAGCAACAATATTTTGTAAGAAATCACAGTTTCCTTATAGTTCTTATAAACAAAACTCATATATCGTATTACAAAGAATATTTTATACTTCTTTACTACATATGCATATTTTCTAATTAATACAAACATGTAATAAAAGTATTATTTAAGTTCCTTTATTCCTTATTCCTTATGGAAACATAATGTTTCTATTTTCATACTTTTCATGTATTCAATTTTATATTAATCAATCTTACAATAAAAGAAGATGATTTAATAAATTATAAACGATTTTATTTGTAAGCAAATTTAATTCTATCCTCAAAATAATTGTATAAGTAATAATTTGTTTCAAATTTTTCCATTACTTAGTGACATTTATTTTGTCAAATATTAAATACTAAAATAATGAAGTTTTATGTAACAATTTTTATTACATTTGCTTTTCCATAAAAAATTATAATTATAATATTCATCTAAAATACTTCAAAAACTTTTTATATGATTTTTAAATAAATAAATACAGGAAAAGTAATTTTGAGTGAATGCAGCAATACTTATTTATCTTCCGCACTATTTGAAATGCAATAAGTTTACAATTCATATATTTATATCCTTTTTATATTGCGATACTTATCAATAATCTATGTGTATCTATGTCAATAATTTATTCTGTACATGAGATGAACGATTACTAACATCATAAAGAAACCTAAAAAAGAATCATAGAAAAATTCTTACATGAAAAAAAAATTCCTTAATAGAAATTAATATTTATTGAAGACATTTATTCTTTAATTAATGTATTAATACTAAAAACACCAGTATTAACAATTAACTACTTCACTAGCAATAAACAAAATTTTATATATTTGAAAGTCAACTAATTAAAATATAAAATATATTGAATTACTTACTTTTAAATTGATAATTAAATAAATATTTATTAATGCATTGCTTTTGATTAATAGCTGCTGTTATAACAGTACTGTCGGTGCAAGCAATCACTGTATCCGTAGATCGGGCTGACATCCGACCAGTTAATGTCGTAAGTATCTTCTACCGACTAATAAGATGTATCAACAAATATTCTGTACGTTTAAAATAATAGTGCATACAATAAACTTATCGACTTTCAGCCACAGTTGGATCAGAGTCAGTCAATGTTTGTAAATGGCTGGAGACCACTAAATACAAACTACGATAATGTTGCAATTCCTGTTGCATCCTCAAATAACTTTGACCGAAGCTTAACTCCTCATCATCAGGTTATTGGAAAATTACAAGATCATATGACTGTATCGGAGCGTTTGAAGCCTCAACGGTTTGAAAAACCGCATCAGATTGAATACACTCCAACGAATCTTCTTGGAAGCTTTAGTATTTTCAGTCATGTACTGCCCAAACAACGAGGTGAAAATCCTTCATCTACAGAGCCTAAAACTCTATCAACCGAGAGAGAGTATACGTTTTTAGTACCGCCACCAAGAGACTCTTTAAGATTTGACGTAGAATCACAAAAGAAGTTACCCATTAGAGACAACGAACCATTTGTACGATCTTCGCAATATGTTTCTCAGGCTATTAAACCGGATTCCCGTGCTCCTACATATTATATTAAACCTGCGAGTTACTCCACTAACGTCAATTCCTTCTCACAGGGACGACCTTTTGTTAATGGATATAGTGCCCAACAATCGCTTATACCTACAAGGCATTCAGGGAAACAATACGAAGAATTAAAATCTTCCAATGAAAAACCATACTATCAAACTTCCAATATGAAAGTCTCTATTGGATTCGGTAAAGATAAAGTAAATGACGATCAAGCATTTGATCATTTTCAGCAACAACCAAAAGGCCAACAAATTAGTAATAGCAATTTTTACAATCAGATTAACCATGCCGCTCACTATAAGCAGGCCACATATGAGCGTGATCCGAGTTTTCTTGTGCACGAAAGTCATGAAGTTAGTTACGTAACCCCATCATCTTATAAATATCGTCCGCTTTCTTATTATTTTGATAATTCAGTACAAGATGCATATACTTCATCAACAGTTCCTTCGAGACTTGAGTCTAATAAATTTACTCAACAGCAAACACCTAGTAGTACACGACCCGCAGGATTCAAACAATTTCAAACAAGTACCAAAAACGTAGATAAGCATCATCCTGAATCACATCATAGCCTGTCAAATACATTTTACATATCTGATTTTCAAAAGACAAGATATACCCCTGACATCAATGAAGTACTTCCAAAAACAAATCAACCTGCAAAATTTAATCAAGTAAGTACTACAGCTATGCCGTATCTATCTGATCATAACTCCAAGGTAGTTTATGTACGTCCTGAATTACAGCATCAGCAATACCCAAGTTCGATAATACCTTTAAATATTAATCAAAGACCACCCGAAGTTGAATATGAAACTCCCGAGAGTATTTCTCTAAAGCATTTTAATGAACAACAATTCCTACTACAACAACAATTAATAGAGCAAGACAGGAAACGCTTAAGAGAGCAAGAAAAACGTAGACAACAAGAATTGCAGCGTCAACAACAAGAAGAACTTGATAGGAGGCAACAGGAAATAAAACTTTTAGAACAAAAAGAAAAAGAAAAACAATTAGAAGAGCTTCAAACTATTCAACCAGATATTATTAAAGAAGTACCGCTAAGGCATCATTATGTTCAATACCCTATACAAGAACAAAAAATAATTCCGAAAGAACAATATAAATATACTTATTATCAACAACAATACGAGTCACCCAAAGAAATCTCTTCTGAAACACCTGTAGAAATAAATAAAGAAAACAGCTTATTTAAGCCAATAACAATACAAAAAAATGAAGAAATTGTAACGCCAGCAGATACGGAATCTACAACTCAAGAAGAATTTCAACCAATTATACGCCCTTATCGTCCTCTAAAACCATTCAGAGATCAAGTCAGAAGACGTAAACCTACTACAGTAATTTATGAGCATATACCAACAGAATTGCCAACACAATACAATTCCGAAACTTCGGAAAGTTTAACGGATATTCCTATACAAACAACAAGTCTGCCAGAAACGACTACAACTCAAACACCAGAAAGAGCTATACGAACTAGGCGACCAGGAGGTCCTCTCAGAAGGCGGAGACCTTCAACTACTACAACTACAACACAAGAACCTAACGAGTATGAAGAAGAGATTATCAAGTATAATACTCCTGCCGTTCAAGACTTTGAAAAAAAGAAGCGCCTTAGACCTATTGCAAGTAATTATCAAGAGAACAGTAACGAAAGACGGCTAATCAGGTAATTTTTATAAATAATCTATTTAAAATTTAAAGATTTGTTAAAAGTTATGTATCAAATTTTTACTTAAACAGAATTTAACATACCTTGTTATATTGTATTCACAATTATTTTCTGTTTAGTATAATAATTATTATATCAAATTTATATATATATATATATAAAAGTTATTATAAATATATAAAAATATTAAGAATAAAATACAATAACATTTCCTGCAAACAGGATTAATAAAGAGAAAATTCAGCGCGTCTATAAATAATATATTTGAAATTCAACTAATAAAATAAAGTATAAATAAATAAAATTTTAATATAGGTATTTCAAATAAACGTGGGGTAGTATTATGATTTTGAAGAAAAAAAATAGATAAAAAAAATTTACACATATACCATTCTTCATTCATTCGTTGAATATTCACTTTTTTCAATAAAAATTTACAATTGCTTTAGTTATTTATGAAATAATAATAGTTTTATTTATAAAAAGTTTTTTCAAACTTAATATGAATCACTAATTTCAAGAATTTATTTTTCTTTATTTTTATTGTACGGTAAAGTACCAATGACCCAATATAAATGAAACGATATTAAGAATTATAATAATAGATATAATTAAATCTAAAAAATTACTTTTTTAATATACTGTAATGAAATATTAATAGATTACATTTTATTTGCCATTAATATGTTCTATAATAAAATTATATTTTAACAAAATAATGTATTTATTTTTATGTTACAATATAGAAAATCAAATTACATCAATATAACAACGTAATTTATAAAATGAAAATAAAATGTCCAACATAAACATAAAGTATATTAAACATAAAAATTAATAGGTCAATAAGCATTCTTAATGTTAAAATTTAAGCACCTTTCATAATCTGGAAAACGTATTTTAAAAAGATCGATTGTAAAATAATATCGTTATCGTAATTAATCTTTTCTATTATATCAGATAATAATTTAAATATTATATTTTTTATGCAATTATTAGAAAACGTCCTGGTAATCGTGCAAAAATTTACAATAAGGAACGTGATAATACTAATACAGTACCAGAAAGAATAAAATCTACAGACCAGTCCCTAAGAGATATCTCACCTACAGAAAATTATCCAGCGCCATTCTTAAAAGAATTATATTCTTCCGAATATTTATCGACTTCGGATAAGACTTTGACACAAGATAATTCTCAAGAAGTTCAAACTGAAAATATTCCGAGTGAATATTATTTCGAAACCACAGCAACATCCACTTTGGAATACTTAGAACCATCGCACGATGATCATCGCGTGGAGCACAACACGCAAAAGGTTGATGATAATGGTTCTCTAGATAATATATTCACAAAAACTGAGGTAATGTTGTCTTTTCGGTTTTTAAAACGACTAAAATATTAAAAATAAAATATCATCACAAAATCAATTAAACCATTATACAGTCATTTAAAGATGTATTATAAATGTAATTATCTTCATTGTACATGTAGTATTCCGTATTACTACTAGATTTATCCGGATATATCTGCATTTATTTGAATATTGATTTATCATAAGCATTATAAAATATTAATGTTTCAATATTTAAAATTACTGCACATTTAAATTTAAAGAAATAGTTTGTCTTAAAGAAAGAATTTAATTAATTCAACAGATTTTTTTCTGCTTTTTGCTTCGATCTCGTTAATAATTATAAATAGTTATTTATTGTAATTTTATCGAATAAATTTTATTAACTATTTTATTAAAAACTTAAATATTGATATCACAGGTGAATCATGTAGAAACCACACCCACGACAACTTCGACCTATTTGACAACGAGTAGTACGAGTACAATGAGCACAACTAGTGAACCATCCACTACGACAAAAACAGTAATCGCATCTTCTAAAACCACTCATCGAATGCGTCCAATACGCTATGGAAATGCCACGCGTCCTCGTTTCAGCATCAAAGATTATAAGAGTCGCTTAGACTATAAAACTCGACTGAGTCAGCCCTCCTCAACGGAAGTTGCCACCGTCACTGCCACCCCAAAATTACGTAGTCACAAAAATCAACAGAATCCGGCAGACCCGAGCTTTAAAGAAGCCGTAGGCAGATACAAATATACGCCACGCTCACCTTATAGGATATCAACAACAACAACTGGAGGTCTTCAATCAGATGATAATAATAGCGCAACGACTGACAGAAGTATCCGGTTCTCCCACAAGAAGAGGATAAATGCGAATCAATATTACAGGAATCGTATCTCAGGTACGACTCCTCTTAATTCCAATAAGCAAGATCAAGAGCACGCTATATCCCAGAGTACAACCAGACCCGAAAATTTGTACATCTCTGGGATTCGCAAGAGACCGGCGTTAAAAAATCGACCTCAGTTATTGGAACGTAACAAGGTTGTCGAATCCACAGAAATGCAATCGGCTGCGGAAACAGGCTTCTTCGCGACAACCACAACAAGCTCCAGTCCCACGGATGCTGCAAACGAGATCAATGAACCTAAAGAGGCCATTGCAGAAGAATCGAAGAAGCCGGCGATTGAGATCCAAGAGGAGAAGTTGTCGGTTGACCTGAGTGACGTGACAATGGACGAGACGGAGGACTCGAACAAGCGGATCTCACCAATCACATTGAAGGCGACAACAGAGCTCAATCATGACAATCACGCAGAAAACAATCAACGAGCGACAATTGCGACGACTCAGGATTTGACGACGCCTTTCGATATTAGACACGAAGAAGAACTCTTCGCCAAGGCCTCGCAAAGCGTCGCCGACCTTACGAGTTCGGCTTCGGCGCTCTACGACAAACCTGGCATGTTCAAAGCTGTGTCCCCTGCCAACGAAAATAGATTGATATCGACACACCTCAAAATTGCTACAGATGAACCGACCCTGCCGATCGAGGCTTTTTTCCAGGACATATCCAAGAAGAACTGAAGGGATGCCTCTATAAATCGTGTGATACGCCAAGATTGTTTCGTGGTATTTTAATAAATTAGTCGCGAGAACTGGAAAATTTTTTCGTGAACGTGCTCTAATGTTTATTTGCACATTCTGCCGAGAAAAAATTCCTTTACGAAAATGCTATTACAATACAGCGATACTTTTTTTGTCAATGATAGTTTTAACTTAAACTATCATTTTATTGATATCGTTTCAAAAATATTTCCTGTAATTTAGTACATTTTTTAGTATACACACCATCGGTAGATTTAGATGAGAATGATTCGTATATTTTAAGTTTTTCGAATGTCTTGGAATTGAGTATAAAGTTAATTTAGACGGGAAATTTATGATATTCAATTATGTATCAAATCATATGCTGTTCTTCCGTATTCTAATTAACTTTCAATAAGATTTTGAATTAAATATAAATTTTGATGTAGGAAAAATTTGTTTAAATAAAGCAGTAAAAGGGATCTAAAATTATTAAGACGGTTAATTACTATCGAAAATGAATTTAAATTTGTCAATATGTATGTTAAACAGAATGAAAACTTTGTTAATTTCAAAGTTATATTATTAAAATTAATGAGATGATAGAGAAACTCTTCTCATAAACAAAAAACAAATATTTATGAATAAATGATTCATATTAGTACTAAAGTATTAGCGCATCATAAAACCTGTTAATGATTATCGAATCTCCTCATCACAAGCTTAACAAATGTTTAATAATCAAGAACATTAGTAATCAATATTTTATATTTTATATTACTTTATATTAATATTAATATTTTATAATACTTTACACAATTTTTATAATACTTTTATCAAATTGTAGTGAAGTTTTTATTATGAAGTATTGAACAACGCTAATTATCCAATTGCAATTCTTTTAACAAATGCAATGTTAGCTGATAAATATTATTATATATTTAATATAAGAAAATATGTTTTACTTATTCTTGAAAGAGAACAATAATATCTATATTTTATAAAAATATCAAAGTAGCGTGATTATCATTAAAATTGGATTTTATGACGATTTATCATTTCGCTTTAATATAAAATCATCAGAATAAAATCCAGTTTTCATAATAAATAAGATGGGTATAACTGTTGTAAAATATATTATTCATTATTTATTACCGATTCTTAAAAAATATTCAATCATAAATGAAATACTTAGGTTATTATTCATACATAGGTCATTCATTTAGTATATTATGATCTAGCATACTATACATCATAAAGAATTGAATATAAGAGGAAAGAAAAAATTTTGTTTGTAAATACATTAGATGTAGTTGGTTTATTTAGAAATGTTTGAGTTCTTGAAAAATAAAATTGATAATTTGGTTTTTCTTGCATTTAAAAAATTACGAATCAATAAATTCTATAAATCAATAAATTCAATATTTTTACGTTACTATACATTACACAAAATCTAAAATTCAAACTAAATAAATAATGTAAGTGAACTAAATAATCACCTTAAATAATAAATTTCTTTTAACGAGAAATTATAAAAGATTTTATTTTTGTATAAAATAGTATATAATTTATATATTTATTTTCTCAATACGCTGCGGTGCATATTATGCAATCCTGTGTATTTTATATTTGTAGAATATACTTTATGTACACTTTTAATGAAATAAAATATTTCAAATAAAATATTTATGAACTTTTTTTGCGACATATGTTAAGGGTGGATTTACTTATTTTTCATGAAGTCTAATGAATAGTTACCTAAACAATAAAAGTTGAAAAATTAATTTAATATATTAAAAGGAAACCTAATGATATTTATCAATTATAATTATATATGGGTAATAATGAAATTTTAAAACTATGTTTCCCAACGTCATTCATCTAATTATTATAAAGAAATAAAACCATTATATAATAGAGTGATAAATAATAAATAAAGATTTTTTTGGATAAAATGGACTATTATTAATATTAAATTAAACTATTAATATTAAATTGTCTATTGTAAAAATGAGTCAAACTTTCAAAGTATCAATCATAAAGAAATTTAAGTAGTTTAAACAATCTTTACAAAGGATAGCATTTGAAAAATTCAAATCTTTTTATTATCAAATTTGTATACACGATTATAAATATACAATAATATAATTATTTAAAATAACTTATATTATGTATTTATTATTATGTAAACTCAATATCATATTTATTCGTATATATATTTAATTTGTAAAATGAAATATTTTCCAAAACTGAGTAATAACATAGCTAGAAGTATAGTCCTCCATAGTGAAATACACTTGCTATAACAGATGAATTTCCATAAACTCTAGGCATAAGCAAATTAAATTCCTTTACTTTATTATTGTACGACTTTTTGTCCAAATACTTTCATTATATTGTATATACGCATTTTTATGCCCATTGTAATAAATTTATCAAAATGTAGTTTCGTATTACGGTAGTGTTATATATATATACACACACATAAATATTAATGAAATTGATTTATCTATAAAAGATCAATATATAATTTCCTAATATAATAAATTCTAGGTTTAGATAAAAGTAAAAGCATTTTTTTCTAATTTTATATTTTATTGTCGTTTTACAAATAAAATATTAATTTCATAACTCATGCAATAAATATATCTCTATAAATTATTTGATATATATTTGTATTTATAAAATCATATATTTTTTTATTTATATATATCTTAATGAATATCAATATTCAACATGTAATAATAAAATACATTATTCCACGAAAGAAAAAATGTTTAATAAATTGAAAATTATACTAATATTTCAGACTATAATAAGTTGCAAACTGTTAGTCATAGAAATTTTAAACAACCGTTTTAAATTGTATATAAAAGTCTAGTATAAAAGTATAATGCAGAAGTTATAAACATAATGACATTTTGAGAGTAGCTAACAAACAGAATTCCAACTTTCTTTCATTATATGCAAAAATTATTTAAATTATGTAAGTCGGCTGGTCAAAAAGTTTTAGTTTTATCAGTAGATAAGCTTTTTATTGTCATTTATAAGAAAGTAATTACAAAGAGAAAAGGTATTTAAGTTAAAGATTAATACAGCCTCATACTGATTTATGAAGTAACACTATTGAAGATAAATGCACAAATAAATTAGACATATTAATAAAATTTTTAATAATTTATATTCTATAGTGATTACATTAAAAAGAAATGTAAAGACATGATTGTCAATGGCAGCATAAATGAAATCCTTGAATGTCTTTAACATTTTTTCCGAAATATTAACAATATTTTCAAAAAAAATTAATGAATTAAAAATTACATTATAAATTAATTAATGAATATAAAAAATATAGCATTTATAATTATTGATATTCAATTTACTATGATAGTAAATAATAAATATTATTTTTATTACTTTTGTAGGAGATAATTTTATATAAATATAATTTTGATCTATAGTAAAATATGTTTTATTATTGGCGAACTATACATTTTTATTAATAAATAATTTTATTTTTAATAAATAAATTAATACTTCATGTTTTATTTATTAAAGCATGATATTATAGATTATAGATTAATAATATGTATAATAAATAAAACTATAAGTCATTGAACAACACTTGTAGCTCAAAATTTAGAATAATTACTTTATAATTTAAATTTACCGCGATCTTTGCCTGAAACGAGCATTCCACATTATGTTAAAATCACATTTTGGCGGCTTCATATTTAGAAATTCATATATTGGCTTTGTCCGTATACAAGTGAATAAAAAGTAATGCTACAACTGAATACAAAGTTAAAATATTGTAGAATATTCTATTTTAGTTAGTAGAATTAGCATGAAAGTGAAATTGAAAAATGAACGAGCATGCAGCATCATTTTCTTGTATTGAAAAAATAGTAAATTCGATACAGTGCATGAAGGAACGATTGATTTGCAGAATTTGGTGAGATTTAATGCTTAAAATGTATTAGCTATGCATAGATATCAAATTTTTTTCATTTTCTATATATCGATTTATAGTGAAACTTAAGAATTATACATACATTACACTGATATTACTATTTTATACTTTCTTCAATGTTTTTGTAGGTTATATTCAAACATTTTAAAGTTGTTTTGAGTAAAGCAACCAATACGAGTGTTATTGCAATACATTCATAAAATTATTTATTATATAAAACACTAATTATTTACTAAATCGATTAAATTATTGAACGTATTCATACATAATAATTAAACATTTACATATATTCATAAAATTATTTTTATCATACATTTATTTTCTTCAAATTTCAATTTTATATAAATATTTGTCATATTTTTCATTTAATTTATTAATAACCTGTAATAAAACATCAAATATAAATTACATCATTATTTAAATAAAATTAATCAATATCCAAAAACTTTGTTAGTAAAATAAAATAAATATAAGAAATTATTTTGTTGTTTATATAATTATAAAGTATTTCTTGTTAATTTACAGCTTAGAACTGTTTAAAGAACCTGTAACAATAAAATGTGGTCATAAATTTTGTAAAAAGTGTATACTAGAAGTTGTTAATAATCAGCATGCAACATGTCCTTTCTGTAATATAAAAATTGAAAAACGATCAATTCCAAAAGAAAATAATCAACTGTTGCAATCTACTGTACAATTATTTAATGATTTGTCAGAAGCTATTTATTCTGATTCTGGAATTGATGGTAGGTAACGTTTAGTAATTTAAATACCATATATAAATTAATAGAGGTTGCTTCAAGTAATCTTATAATTTAACAATAAATAAATATTTAATATTTCCATATTTATATTTTAAGATATTATAAAAATAATACATAGTATTAATAAACTTTTTAATTTCATCTGATTCTGTATATGTCTTATTATTAATTTCAAATGTATTTATATTTTATTGAATAGTGGTAACTACAAAATTTATAAATATATTTTAATAGTATATACAGACGTTAAAATGTTGTTTGTATATAAGTTGTGTATAAATTTTGGCTTTGTTATATAAATGGTGTTATATAAATGGTAATTAGCAATCCAATTAATCATAAACAAGTTTTGTATCATAATAATATGGTATTCAAATATCTGTTTTCTATATTTCAATTAAAAATCAATATTCTTTGTTCATTAAATTAGCTATAAATAAATATTTTAATTATAGTTTTACAGCCTTTAATTAAAATAGGAAATGCAAAGGAAAGTTCATCTAACCAAGAGCAAGCAAGTATTTTTAAATCAGAATCTATTTCATCCATCTCAAAAGAATCTTTAGCTACAAATAAAAATCTTTCAAAATTAACAATTCACTCCAAAAGCAATAAAAAATGCAATGTTAAGAAACCCAGAGCACCCAGTGGAATAAAGACAAAAAATATTAAAGATACCTTACATAAATATTTATCTAATAACCCTAATTGTACATCCGATGAAACAGTGTATACAGAAGAAAAAGTTAAAAGTTGGCTTAAAAATATTACACAAAATGAAAATAACATAATTAATAATAATTCCGGTTATGAAGAGATTAATGTAAATATAGAACATTCCATTAAAGATCATATTAATAAATCAGCAGATATATTGTTGAATGAAAAATGTGAGTCCACGTCATCTAATATTTTTCCTAATAGTAATAAGGCAAAGGATTTAAAGTTTGCTAAGCATATAAATTTGCAAAAAGAACAACAGTGTAAAGATATGCAAAGAACACATGAAGTAGATATGATAGCTCATAGTAAGAAATTAAATCAAGTTCTTTCAGAGAAAGCTGTTTTACAAACATCCACATCTATCCCAGTTGCATCTCATTCTGATGCTAATAATTGGCGTAGAATAAAAAGAGTTGGTAAAGAGATGCAAGCTAAAACATTTAAATCTTTAAATGTCAGTGTTGAGAAAAGCTCTGCATCAGTTATATTAGATGATACAGTGCCCTGTAATTCTACAACTAATGACAGTAAGAGCGTTTCCCGAGAAGTTGATACAAATAAATCTTTATGCAATAGTATTCCTGTATTAGAAAAAAAATGTTTAAATGTAAATGATACGTTACAAAATGTAAATATTAGAAATATAAACAATGACCATACTTCTAAGCATCATTCAATTAATTCATCAAGCTCATATAATCAAGAAAATATTTCTTTATCTTTTATTGATCAAAAGAAAGTAAATGAAATAATTGGAATTTCTAACTATCAAGATAATTTAAGTACACCTGAACAAGCAAGAGATGTATCAATTACAACAAACTCAGAATTAATAACAAAATTAAATCAACTAAGTCCTTTAAAAATAAAATTAGATAAACATCAAAGTAATGAATTTTTTGATAGGAACTCATCAAATGGCGATTACAAAACAGATATTATTGATGGATATTCTCCAACAAAACATAAATTATCTTTGAAAATTAAATCCACATCCTCGAAATTAAGTACTTCCGAGTTAAGTATTCAAAATAATATTCAAATTGCAAATAACACTTCAAAGATTATTTCCGAAAAACCAAAAAGTACATTATTTCAATTACCAACAATAATAAATAATGAATTCTCTCAAACAAATCAATCAATTATCGCATTTAAAAAATTAGGTAAAATGTGCCGAAAACGAAAGAATATTTCTTTCTTTTGTCTGGGTAAATTAAGGCCAAAAAAAAAAATAATTATTTGTAGTCCTACAAAACATCAATCATCAGGTATAGTGCTTAAAAGTAATGAACCCATAAATTTGAATTATAATGTTCTCATGGCAAACCTTGAAGTAACTGACAACAATACTTCAACAATAAATGCAGATATACCAGTAAATGTTAAAATACTTTCGGCTGAAAAAAACATTGAGTCAATATCGTCATCAAATCAATTGACAAATCAATCTAGTAAAACATTGTATGTTGATACAAATGAAAATAATAATAAATTAAAAATTTCGGAAGTAAACCAATCAAATATATTAATGGAGATTGATGAAACTCCAGTGATAAAGAAAGTTTTGATACAACCATTGGAATATAATGAAAATAATATTCAAGACGACCACTTTAGTATAAATAAAAAAAATTCATTTAAAGTAGCCAACAATTATCATACAGAGTCTAACGTTATGGATAAACAAATTATAGAAGTAGATTTGGAAATTCCAAAAAATAATGATAATCCAATGCCAGTAGAGAAAAAAAATGAAATACTCCAAAAATATCAGATTTATATTAATTCAGAAGAAACTGATTCTAAATGCACTCAAAAATCTGTTAATAGTGAAACTAGTAGTCCTGATCAAAATCAAAATAAAAATGTTGATGTAGAGGATAACTTAAGCAGTCTATGTTCAAATACTCATGAATTTAAAAATCAATGTGAATTTGAAAAAGATAAATCTATTTGTACAAGTACGTCAAGTTCTCCGTTACAAATATCTCCATTTAAAAAAAAAAGGACACATTCAGAATCATCTAATGATGAGGACGTATCGTGCATAATTGATAAATGGTGTGTCAGAAAGGAAGAGCCAACTATCAAAAAACAGAAAATTGTCTCAGAATCCAGAATAGATTTAAATTCGCAAGATAAAGAAAATAAAGTTGGTAACTTAGAGGAATTACTTTCTGATGACAACGATAATACATTAGTTAATCATACTCTGAAAAAATCCACAATAAATACAAAATTAAATGATGTACCAGATAATGAAAATATAAGTGAAGTGCAAAATTTTAAAGAAAATACAGAAGGTGTAAAGAAATTATTTGATGTTCCTAGTTCACTACTATCAGTAGATCTTTTTGAATCTAATGAACAATGTATACAATCCAATATTGAAACGACTCTTAAGCCATTAAATAAAATCACCAGTGATAATCTTCCACTGAATCTTTGGACCGATCAAAAAAGTGACAAAGAACATTTAGATTTTAGTAAGAGTTTATCAAATATTACAATAGTTAATTTAAAGCAGTTTAATAGAAGTAAATCAAATATATCTGAATGTTCAGAAACTTCCAACAAAGAAAATAATGCATGCAACAATATTGATATAAATAGTCCAATCAAAGAAAATTTTGACAATGTAGATCAAATATATCAAATAGAAAACTCTCAAAACAATAGATCTATAGCAATAAAAAATGATTCTGTTGATAGCCAATTTAATACATATCATGTGTCTGATAGTTTAATGAACATTACACAAGAGCAATTAGCAATGAAAAAAATTGAGAAGGCTCTTATAGGAGTTAACTTATCAGAAATTCATGATGATAAAAATAAAGGAAATGATAAAAATGATAAATTTTCTACACCTCGTCAAAAGGTTAATTTTTCATAATTTATTATAATTGTTCATAAAATTTTATTTTTATTATAAATGTATTACTTTACAGTTTAAATATCAAATCAGTAACAATACTGACGATGATTTTGATTCTGATAGTATCGATGCTACACCTATTTCAAAGAAAAGGTACAAATTTATTAAGCAAGTATTTCAATTGTTTTTTTATTTATATATTTATTTCATAATTCTTTTATTTCAGACAAATATTCAATTTTCAAACACCCAAATCTACAACTAAATCAGAAATAAATAACTCCCATGGAAGTTCACCTGCGACAAGATTAAATCTTATTCCAGCAGTAACACCCATGAAAAATAGAAAATCATATCCTTTAAGTCATAGTACACCAATGATTAATTCACCGACTTCAGCTAATAAATTATGTAATAAAACTAAATCTATGACTTTGATTTGTAGCGGTCTTCGGTTAGAAAATATTAAAGCAGTTCAAACATTTGCAAAACAATTTGGTGCCAGTTTCCAAAGTAATTTTAATATGGAAGTAACTCATGTAATAGTGCAAACAGATATTGAAACTAAAGCAGGACAAAAAACTTTTAAATACATACAAGGTATAGCTTTTAAAAAGTATGTGGTTAGTTTTCAATGGATAGTTGATTGCTTGAAACAAAATAGCATATTAGATGAAAATGAAGAAAAATATGAAGTATTAGATCCTGATGTTTTTGAATCAGGATCAAAGAGATCTCGAACAAGGACACAAGACTTATTTGAAGATTTTGCTTTCTTTTGTCAGGGGCCATTTAATTCTTTTTCATTAAATGAATTTAAGGTATACATTTATTCAGATTTCATAATTTTATTATAAATATAATTTCTAATCTATAATATTTATAAATATTGTTAAAATTTATTTTCAGAATTTAATAGTCTTTAACGGTGCTATTATTACATCTTCGATTAAAGAACTTTCACTTCAAAAAGAGAAGTATAAAATCGTAATTTTGGAATCCGAAAATTTCAGTTCAAATAGTAGGTTTATTTTATGTTTATTTTACAACATATGAATGGTATAGTAAATTTTAAATTAATATTAAAATTGTTTTTATTTAGAAATATCAACACTAAAAAAATCGGATGGTATCTTAATATCCTTTGAATGGATCATTGATAGTATAAGCCAGTATCAAATTTTGTCACTTTTGCCTTATTTATATGAAACAACTGTTGAGGAAGCACTAGCTTTGGGATTTCCTCCTGAATACTTCGTTGAAGAGGAAACTATAGAAGAAGAAGAGGAGGAGGAGGAGGAAGAAGAAGAAGAGGATAAAGAAAACGAGGAAGAGGATGAAGCACAATAAAATCAAAATATAAAATATAATGCTTATTGTAAATGTAAAATATTTTTATATTATATGTGACGTTCTATATATTTATATTTTAATATTATATTATAATTGCTTTCCTTGTTTAAAATTTATTATTATATAAATTAAAATATTAATAATTTAAAAAATATATATTGAAATATAAGAAAAATAATAATTTATTATATTATTCATGTTAGAAACGAAATATTTTGATAATAATATAATTGGTATTGAGATGTATTTCAAAGAGAATATATTTTATATGAGGATTGCTATACGAAACTTTTTCGAGATTTATGGGAAATTGAAAATTTAATTGTTAAAACTTATTTGAAATTGTTATTATACTTAAAATATAATCTGTATTATAAAATATATGCCTTCTTATATATTAGTATATCAAAATATGAATTATACAATATATATGACCAGTGAAAGAATTGGAAATTGTTTTCAATTTTTTGAGCATAGTGTATATACTTATATAATTATGCAATAAATATACTTTTTTTTTAATTAAATAATGTATTAGTATCACTATATTAAACATGAAATTCATTACTTTAAAATAAAGGTTTAATTATTTTACTTACAGTCTTCATATAAATTATCTAAAGTATTTGTAATTATTTTAATGAAAATTATGTATTAATTGATATGCCTTTAATATATATTTTATTTAAATCATAATTAACAAATACATAGCAATTATATTCATTATTTAAAAATTTTTCTGCAATATAAAACTACAATAATTATCAATACTAAGATAAATATTATGAATAAAACTAACTATAGGGTTGAAACGTATACTATCTCTTATTGTGAAATTGTTCATTTTATTTATATATTGTAAAATTTTATTAAAATTTAAATTTTTTAAAGTATAAGAATGTACAAAAATTATGAACATGTATGACTTAAAAAATTTTCACTGAAAAATAATTTTGTTGCAAACAATTAAATTTTATATATAATCTAAAAATTTATTTTCATTGTAAGTACAATATTTATGCCACATTTTAATAAATATTACAGTGTATCGTAACATTAGAATAGTTTTTAAATGTACATTTTTTACTACTGTTGATTCTTAACAGGAATTTTACATTATAGTATTATTATATAATTTAAAATTATAGTATATCATCTGAATTATATTAGTAATATTCACAAATGTATATTATTAATCATATTCACTTATTCCAAATTACTTTCTATTATAAAGCAAGGAACTTATTACGAATCTTGCAAGAATTTTCATATTTTTATCTCTACGGAAATTACATATTTTGGAAATTAGATATTACTGTTGATTTATATATTATAATAATTATGAAAATAAAAAATTCAATATTTTCTTTATATATACATATGATTATTTTGTTATTAAATAGAAAATGAAATAGATAATAATTAAATCTATTTATATACAGTAATTAGAAATAAATTATTGCTTTACTAATTATACATATATTTATGTACGATAGGAAAAAGTATGCTTTAACCTTCATATTGTATTTTATCTAAAATTCTATTTATAAAATTTATGTTATACACTGCTAAATTATAAAAATTCATTTTAAATGCTATTAAAACACACTGCATATTCATTAAATAAATAAATGTATATATAAGATATACAATAGAGGACAACGCTATTTTTACCAGAAAAATAAGCTACCTCAGAATATTTTTCATACCTTAACAAAACAATGTAAATGTTTAAAAACCTTTTATACATAAAATAACCTAATTTACCATGATTTATTATCTATATTAATACTCAAGCATTATTCTAATTTAATTGATGAATTAACTCAAAATAATAATATTTTTTATGTAAAAATTGTACTGATGGTACCATTCACTAATATGAGAAGAAATATTAATCTATCCATTTATTTTAGGAGTCTATTGTTGAAAGGTAATTCAATCTCTTTCAAATGCTTTTTTTTTAAAGAATTTATTTTCATTGGTTTCCCATTTACTACTGAATATATTAAAACAAGTTTAATTGATATAAAAAAATTGAGATATTATCCTTACTAATGATATATAAAATATGTTTGTAAGCACATAATAGATCGAAATTTGAAAATTGTACAAAAAGAACAATATAGTTTTTGTTAAAATTTAATTGGCAACGATATTTAATGTAACATTTTTTTTAATATATTTTTACTCAAGAATTATTACAAAAACAATTATGCCTTAGCATCTAAATGAATTGATTAAAATCCTTAGTCATTTTTCAAAATTTATATAAAGAATAACTAATTTTAAAAGAATTGAAACTGTTTAATAAACATTTTAAGTTGATTAATATTATCAATTTCATTAATACCCACGAGAATTCCATTAAATTACATGAGAAGTATAATAAAATATCCATAAAAAAAATCTTGAAAAAATAATTCAATTTAATCACGTTAATCTTTTGTGCTATACAGTATAATATTATTTTATATTTTTTTTATTAATTTTGAATATTTTATAAAAATTATTAATTAAATCTTATATATGTGTAATACATATTTTAATAAAAGAATTGTATTGTACATACGAGGACGTGCGCATGCTGACACATATCCATACATTTGAATAATATGTTTAATTATATATATAATACTAAGATGTATTATATTTAGTATTCGAGCTAATTGTACAAATGAAAAGGGAACATATTTTATTATTTCAGTATTGTTGTTTGCATCATATCTTTGTATTTTTTTATAATATATATTGTATCATATATTTCTTTAAGTTTATGTCTTTTTTTTAAATTTTTACAATTAAAAATAATAGAATATTTATTTAACATATGTGTTTTTCTAATAATAGTATTTTCCTAATAATATTAATACCTAATTTATGTATAAAACTTGACTATAATATATGCAATAATTTTTTTAAAATATTCTTTGTATGTATCAGCAAATTTAGAGATATGAATTCTACGTCAATTTGTACAAAAATCAAACCTATAAAAAAAGTATTTTGGAAAAAATTTTAGAACTTATCCATATTTTTTTGAACTCAACAACTTTACGATACATCATCCTTAAGATATAATATCCTTAAGATTATTAGATAGTTTTAAGTATAATTGCATCTCATCCAATTTCAATTTATTTTATTTATTGTTCATCATCTATGAAGTGTAATATTTTTCTAAAGTTTTATAAAATTTCTATAATAAAAAACAACAAAATTTGAAGGCAATTACTTAAGTAAAATGTTTGTCTATAAATGTGAATATAGATTATATATTTATTAAATGTAAATTATATAGATGTAAACTACAACATTTATATGTGTATTTTATATATTATATTTTATAATAAATCATATGCTTGAACATCATATCAATAGTTTTTCTTAGATATATTTATACCAACAATATGATTTATGTAAATTAAAATTTCAGATATTTATTACAAAATCTACAAATAATTTTATGAATAAGTTTCTATTTAAATAATTTGAAGTAAATAAGTAAATCTACTACATAAATTTAATATTCTTTTAAAACAATTATGTTCTATCTTGCACATAATAGAATTATAACAAAAATTTCGATTGCTAATACGTCGCTTACATGTCAATATATATTCATAAGAAATATAATTTTGACCTATGAATTTAGTAATAAAAATATACTGAAAATCAATACGCTACACAATATCTGCCTGGAGAAAGATTTTTCCTTATACAATCATTTATTAGGATCATATTCCTAACTATATTACAACTAATTATTACTTAATAGTATAAACTATTACAGTTATTCTATATATAACAATATTTTTTAATTTTTAACTACTGTACTTATTTCTATATATATAACTATATTTTTGTTTCAACTGACTGCAATTTTCTAAGTGCATCAAATTCAAGATATAAGTCATTAATTTGAATTTAGTCTATAAAAGTTATAATCGTCAGCGTAAACTAACTCATTAATCGCATAGAGTATCTTTCTCAAAATTACCTTTACATAGATAAGCAGTTCTAAATTCTATTAAGCACCCCGTTCGTGCTGAAAACAGATAAGCTAAATTTTCCTTCATCGATGTCATTATAATTATAAAGTTATTAATTCTTTATAATTATCAGATGCAACACAAAGTGCTTTCTTTTCTATATTAAATCGTAACTATTAAATTAATTATTTCATCAATTTTATGACGGGTGTATTTATTATATTATCTTGAAGGAAATATAATGCTTCATTGTGTATTTACAACTTAAAGGGGTTAATTTAATATTGTGATATACATTCTTAAAACATTTTATTAAGTGCAATAAATAAAGTAATGTTTATATGCAACATTTTTTGACATATATTATAATACTTTAGATTCATTAATTGATTTATTTAATACCTTAAATTAATAAAATTCTATTAATATGATTAGATTAATAGAATTATGTTTACTTAAAATTTTTTAATATACAGTAAAAGATTTGATATTTTTCCAAATATTTATATGTTATTGATGTATTATTGATGTATTATTGAATGTAAAATCATAAATAAGTACAAAAATGCAATCTACACATAAATTTTAAGTATCGCTCGTGTTAGAATAATTTAATATATGAACCCGCTATTATATTCATTATGTAAAGTATTTGGTTAAATTTGCTATTAATTAATTTCTTACATAATTACAGTTTATTTTGAAAAAGTCAATAATTTAAATCATAGCCATAAATTGAATACAACATTTTTAAAAAATAAAAAAATTCTACTATAAAATATTTTTAATTTTTCACGTTTATTCTATTATTACTATCCCACTCATACAACTATTTTTTACTTACAAACTCTGCCTATATTATATTTTATAACATTTATTTTTAATAATTTAAGATTACATAGTTTAAAGAGTATATAATTTATTATATTTTTTATTATATTTTGTTTAATTGGAAAATAATTAAGTTTCATGCAATTATTAATATCTATTTATTAAAAACAAATTTTAAATTAACAGATTTTGAACTTTTTTTATATTAAATTAAATATTACATGGTT